ATATATATATATATATACATATATACATGCACATTGGGTTCGTTCCTGTCCACAAAATCCTGACACAAAAGTCTTTCAAAAGAATTGTTTTTTTTTTAGATAAATATAATTAATCCTTGCTTAATCCTTATTGCTTCTTTTATCTTTAATTACTGAACAACTACGTTTTCAGAGTTGTTATTTTCTAAATTCTTGTTCTTGGTTATTTGTCCAGAGCTATCTGTACAATGTCTTTGTGAAAAAGAGTTAGATAACTAACAATATGTGGCGTATGTTCAAGGTCTAGTTACTGCCTGGTTGTAGACCAACACAAATTTTGTGCTAGACTGTCCAGAGTGTATTTGTGTCAATATAATCCTAATTTACTGTCATCCATCCATTATCTTTAACCACTTCTTTCTTTTCAGGTTGCGGGGGTAACTGGTGCCCATATCCAGCCATCACTGTGCGAGAGGTGGGGGACACTCTGGACATGTCTCCAGTCCATCACAGGGACACATGGAGACAAACGAGACAAACAACCATTCACTCTCTCTCTCACCTAGGGACAATTTAGAGATACCAATCAGTCTAACATGCATGTTTTTGACCAGTGGGAGGAAACTGGAGTACCTGGAACAAAGCCCACGCAGCTCAGAGAAAACATGCAAACTCCACCCAGACCAGGATTTGAACTGGCAGTCTTCTCGCTGAGAGGTGGCAGCTCTACCGTTCCGCCTTTTCAATGTTCTTTATTGTCATTTGCATCACATGTGGTATAAGACGTTGAATGAAATTGTGTACTCAAGGTCCCACTTTCACCCAAAAAAATAGCAAAAAATATAAAGCATAAAAAGAAACAAAATACAAGGATCTAAGACAGGGGTGTCAAACTCACAAAAGGGGCCAAAAAAAAAAAACCTTTTTCAAACTAAGGGCCGGTTTCAGAATCTCCATTAACTCAAGTTAAATACCCAACAGCTTTTCTTGGTTGAAGGTTCCTCAACAAGAGTTTGATTGGTCTCATTTGACATTCTCTGTTGCAGTTTTACATCATAATCAAAGATTACTGAAATAATTAAAATGATAAAAGTATTTTACATTTAAAATAACATCTTGAGGGTCAGATAAGATGTCAATGAGGGCCACATTTGGCTCCCAGGCCTTGAGTTTGACACATATGATCTAAGATATACAATAAACAATAATGATGTAATATAATACGGTGTATTAAACAGCAGCCTAAACATGAGTCTGTTGTGAACAGATGGGTCTAAGTACAGCAGCTTAAGGTAAGAAATCAGCAGCATGGATAATCAGCAGCACAGATAAAGTGACATACCACCAAGTAAAGTGTAATTTCAGTGATTATTCTGGTTAGAGATTCATGAGTCTAACAGCCTCAGGGTAGAAGCTGTTCCTCAGTCTAGTGGTTCTACACTCAATGCTCCACAACCTCCTTCCTGAGGGGAGCGGGGCAAAAAGTGGGTGTGCTGGGTGAGTGGGGTCCTTCATGATGCAGGTGGCCCTTTTCCTGCATCTGGAGGTGTATCCAAGTAATTTCTTTGTCAAATGGTTAATGAAGAAAATGCCACATTAAAGATTTTTCAAATTTGCTGTGATCCAGCCACATTCTGATAAGTTAGACAGCATAGAGGCTGTGAGGTGACAACAGGAGACCTGAGTGCATCACTAGCAGAGGAGCTAAACTGCTTCTTTGCACGCTTTGATGCACCACAGAAGCACTCATCTAATCCAGCCCTGCCCCCACACCCACCCGGTTACTGCACCACTCCACTCACTGTACGGGAGCATGATGTTAGACATTCGCTCCAATCAGTGAATACCAGGAAAGCTACTGACCCAGATGGAGTACCTGGCAGGGTGCTCAGAGCATGTGCCCTCCAGCTCACCCCCACCTTCACCAGAATTTTCAATCTCTCCATGGCCCAGGCAGTCATCCATCCCTGCTTAAAATCTGCAACTATCATCCCAGTGCCGAAAACGCCTACCATCACCAGCCTGAATGATTATCGACCGGTGGCTCTCACTCCGGTAATCATGAAGTGCTTCGAGACACTGGTTCTCCAGCACATCAAGGACTATCTCCCTCCGAACTTTGACCCCTACCAGTTTGCATATTGCACCAACAGGCCCGCTCGAAGATATCGCTCCAGGCTCCGTGGATAACGGGCTGGCCGTCTTGTGAGGTTCAAAGCCTGCCGGGCTGCTGTTGCGACTTCCTCTTCAACCGAGGACCGCATATTAAATCACCTGTC